GCGGGGATATGGGAGGACACTGAGGCATGCGGGACCCCGCGGTGCAGGTGGCCCTGGGGGACTCGGGAGTGTGGAGTTACCCTTGGGGACATTGGGCATGAGGTGGTGGGGGAACGTGGGCACGTGGGGTGCGGGTGACACTGGGGATGCAGGAACGAGGGGTGATGCTGGGGACATAGGAACCTTGCATGCGGGTGGCCCTGGGGATGCAAGAGCCTGGGGTGAGACACGGGGATGTGTCGTCATCGGTCCCTGCTCTGCAGCCGTGTTTCACCGTGCTGTCCAACAGCTCCTGTGGGGACGTCCCTGCGCCCGCTCTGCGCCCCATGAGCACCCCGGGCTCGGGGCAGCCGGAGCGAGCGAGGAGCTGCTGCACTTGGAGAGCTGGGAGTGCTTTGTGCACAACCAGCTGCCTCAGTTCCTCACAACGGGCTTCTTGGCGTGTGTGTTTCTCATAAGGTTCCAGAGAGTGCCACATTTTGGCAAATTAAAGAAAGAAAAACAACACTTTTTTAAGTCCACAAAAAGTGGTGGCTTTTCATGGCTGATTTAATTTTTAAATTTTCTTTTCCTTATTTGCTTCAGTTTCAGTGTGGTGGAGACTTGGCCTCTACCCGCAATGCTGCGGACGTCACCACGTCCTCAGTCCGTGCTGGGGACAGGAACATCTCCCACCCCTCACTGGACACCCAGTGCTCATGACAGCAACCAAAAGCTTAGGGTGAAAGAGCCCTAGGTACCTCCTAAGACTGGGAGCAGGGGGGAAACCCAAACACAGGTGAAACGGAGCCGACCCATTTCACTGTCCAAGCTGAGAGAAACATGAAAAGTCAACAAAATAGCAACAACCAGCAGTTTCACATTTTAGACTAGTTTCCTTGAGACCTGTTGTGTGTTCATTGGGTCTTGGGGAAGTCGTACAGTAAGGTGAGCAGAGTGGGCTTTTTTTAGGTTTTGTGACTTTGCAGAGCATTGTACAGACACCACCAGGCTCAAGCCAATGCAGACCGCTCCGAAGCATTCTGCTTGAGCCTGTGCACGGCCTTGAATGGCGCCGAGTAACTGTGCTTGCTTTAACTCACTGGTTGCTAAGCCCCAAACTTTTTGATTTCCCTCTGTATTAAATGCGCAGCTATGCAGTTAACTCATGAAGCTGCCTACGGTCTAGTCAGACTTGCATCTTGTGGGCTCTGAGCTTTCTATAAACTGTGGCATTTTTCAGGCTGCCTTTTGTACCCAAAATGCAGAGGAACCCACACGGAAAGAAGGAGCTGCTGCTTCTGCCTCTCCACTTCTCTCTACTCTAACCTGTCCTGATGTTTTACGGTCCTTCACAGTGCTGCTTCTTCACAGGTTTCTCATCAGGATCTCTGCTCACCTATGCTGTTTGCAAACTGTTAGACTTCCATGTGCTCTCTGTTTCATGGCATCTATTTCTAGGATTTGCCTTGGTAATGATGGGCAGTCTCATTCTGCAAAGATCTTTAATGTGTTGCTAGAGAGGAGTGATACATGTACATCACACCTTTTACCTTTTTTATTTTTTATTTCACAATTGTGTTGCTCTGCATTCCTCTGCCTCTGATTTCCAAAGCAAGAGAAAAATGGCTTTGGGCTGACCCATGGGGCTGTGTGCCGCTGGCCAGGTGGGCTCCCTGCACGAGCAACCACTGTCTTCTCTATTTATCTGGAATATTTTAGAACATTTTAGCTGTAGGGCAAACTATTTGTGC